TTTGTCTTTTGTAGTGTCCTCCCCGCTTCTCACGGCAAGAGGGTGGGGTCCTGTCCGATCTTTTTTTTTTTTTGGTCATATCTTTTCTTTTTCCCTTTGCTGTGCCGATATGGAATTGAGGCTCTGCGTGGGCAGGCAGTGCATTTTCACATGCGCTGCCCGCGTATGTATTGGATTGTCTGCTGCATTGTAGATTTTGAAAGGGCCTGTCAGCCCTTTCCCAGCGGACGTCTACCGGGCGTGGGCACTGTAGCGGCACCGTAGCTTTTGGCCCGGTAGTCGTAAATGATAAAAATCTACAGTGCAGGGTCTGTTGGACGGGTGGTGAAGAGATCACTGCTATGGACGGAATGTGGATGTGATGTGCTCTTCAATGATTGAACCCTGCACTTGTATTTTGCTGTAAAATGCGCTTTGATGACTCCTTTGCTTCATGTTATTTTTGAAGTTATGTGAAGGTAGATTAACTGATAGCATGCGGAGAAGCATCTGAAACGGTTTTCGCCTATTACGATAGCAGATGCAGTACCCAGGGCTCGATCTCTAGACCTCCCCTTCATCCATGTATAGTACCGGTTGACCAGTGTGTGTTTGAACCCGCGACCTGTGTTCTGAAAGTCGTACGTTCAGTTGTATGTAGTGCCGGGTCTTGAACTCTAGGCCTAAGTTTTAGAGGTCGTAGTAGTAGTATAGGTCGTATCGGCCACAGTCCCGAAAGGTGAAGCCTACGATCTTTCCGAAACTTCCGGAAATGGCCTTTTGTGAGTCCTAGAGTCAGTCCGCGTCTGAGTCAGCAGTGGACAGTCCTAGCGCAGTCAGCAAAGGGCAGTCCTAGTCCTACCTATCCTAGTCAGCGGTACCCAGTTCCGAGGTGCACTTTGTCTAGTCAGCAAGTAGCATGTGGGACTGTGCACATCCGGGCTTAGGGTCAAATGGCAGACCTGACTATCCAAAGTATAAATAAAGAGGCACCATCAAGTCATTCATTCATTCTGCCTGTCTGAGTGTCTTGTGTATGAAGGTCTGCAGGTGCCTGGAGAGGAAGAGGGCTAAAAGGAGGCAGACGTGGCCATAGCAGCCAGTTAGTGGTAGGAGGTAGACGGCAGCCATAGCTGCCAGTTAGAAGGTTAGCGTATGTGTGTGCAGTGTGTGTGGGACGTCCAGGGTGATCCTAGAGTGAGAGTGTGTGTGTGCAAACAAGTTGCTGAAGGATATAGTTGATCTGTTGGGAATCTTTGTCTGGCACTCTGCGCCATTGCATTCAGACAAGTTTGAATCTGAGTCGTGTCCCCGGCCATGTTATCTCTGAGCTTTGTGTGGGTGCTAAGCGCCAGAGTCTGTTCGTCATCTGTTTGCATGCATGCTGTGCCGAAGAAGACAAGTCTGATTGCACATCCTTCAGAAAAGTCCTCATTTGCCGATTGGCACTAAGTGCGGTGAAGAGGTCCCTGTGATAGACTGTAGAATCTTGAACATGATCCGGTGAGCTGATATGATCAAGTGGGGTGATGGAGAGGTTTTGGAGCTGGATGCTTGAGACGATGGACCGTTTGCTCTGTGCATGTTGCGGTGGATCAATCTGGCTGGCCTAGTCTTTCAACCACTGGCTTGTATTTGATTATGGGGTCCACTCATGTCTGAACCAGTGTTTGGGTTGATGTAATACAATAACGAGTAATAATTCTCTCTCAAGTCTCTTGATATGTGTCAGTTCTCCCTCCACCTTCACGATTATCCCCATGAGACCTTTGCCTTCTAGGGAATGAGCGCGTGGTTGAGTCGTTCTTTGTTGGTTGGTCTGTGAGGGGGAAGGGAGGCTGCTTTGCACGCACGCCTCTTTGCCGTGTCCTTGGGTGTGCGGGATACCGTCTCCTCCCAGGAGGTGGAAACTTCTACCTGCTGTGATGGATGTTGCCATCCAGTGCTTTGCTATGGAGGAGTCTGCCATCCACCACTTCTGCTCATTGTGGCCCTCCTTTACCGGCTGTGGCATTGGCATACTACCATCCCCCGTATTCAATTTTGCGATCCATCTCAATCTCTCGTGGTGTATTGATTTGCCCTTGTCACCTTCTAGGGTAGCATATTTGTGCTCCTTGGTGGCTATATTTGTAATAGCTATTTCCCTTTCACAACACTCATTTCTTCAGCTCAGGGTGGATAGGAAGGTTGACCTTTCACTAAAGGGCTGATATTTGCCCAGCCTTCTGTGCATTGCGTTGCTAGGGCATCCCTGCCTCCCGGCCAGCTGTTGCAGAGCTTGCTTTGCTCATGTAGATTTGGGAGTCGTTCCCAGTGGTATATACTGATTTGGGAGTCATGTCGAGTGGCCTGCACTTGATTCATCACCTGTGCCCGCATCGCTCTTCAGACTAGTTGTGGCTTGATTTTGGGGTGTGTAGTACTGTGTACCACTGTGACTTCTTTCCATCCGAATCGGCTGCTATGCACTTCTTATTTGGAAGAACCACGAACGGGCTGCGGACAGGCCCCCCACAAACAAGTAAGCGTTTTTGAGAAAGATGGCAAAACAGAATCAGAAGCGACCCCCCCCCCCCCCCCCTGAAAAAAAAATAAGAAACAGCACCACGTGACCACGAAAACTCACACCCCAAAAAAAAACACCTGCGGACAGGCCTCCCACAGAAAAAACAGAGTGCCCCCTGTCTCACTCGGCCTAGCAAAATTTTTCGACACAGGCCGATCGTGTCTCGCATGGGAGCGTCATGCAAGACCTGAAGTACCTCGAATAGAATGTCTGATTTCTCCCCCTGCTTGCCCTGGCTCAAACATCATACCCAGGATGGGTGGCACCTCTACCACTGCCGTGCACTTTTGCAAATGAGGAGCTCCTTACGATATAGCTTGGCAACTGCCTAACTGTCCGTTGACTTTACCAGATACTGGGCCTCTAGGCCCTACCGGTTTCTGCACATTTTGGCGAGAAAATCATTGCAGGCCAATATCATACTACAGGACCTGGACCGGGATCTTCTAGACTTCTCCTCTGGGTCTAGAGTCTTTTCAGACTTCATCCAGGCCGGTATCTATCTTCTAGACTTCTCCTCTGGGCCTATACCACCTTTTTGTCCTTTTCTCTGGATGCTACTTGATATTGGCCGCTTGGGCCTACCTATCCCTAGTCTACTGTAGTCTACCAGCCCTGCACCAGCTGGGCAGGCCAACGACACGGTAACAGGGGTTGGTACTGGGCCTGTGAGGGGAAAACCAACACCCAGGCCATCATTATTGGTCACCCATATACGAAGTACTTGGACATACGAAAAGACACGCAATTGCCTCACCAGGAACAGACTTGGACAGCAGGAATTCCCAGCAGAAAAACAGAACAACAGCAAAAACTCGGAGAAGCACAGAACAATGGTAAAAACTCAGAAAACACAGGATTGTCGTTCTGCAATTTTGGGGGTTATTACACGAACCTCTTTTTTCCAGTGCTGATTTCTGGCTTGCACATAGTTCCGTCGAGCCAGCAGGGGCTTGAAAGACTCAAAGACTAATGGAGGTGAGGTCTCGAGCTAATGGGGAGCGTTGCAGCTTGATGCGCATGCATATTCCTACCAGAATGCATGAGCATGTATCGCGCATAATATTGGGTATATCACATGTGCAATATGCGTACATCATCTACAACAATATGCGTACATTATCCCAGTCGAGTTGAAGAATTAACAAAGATGATCGGCGGTACCATCATCTACAACAACAACAACAACAATACTGATGGCGGCAACGACAATAATAACAGCAATTACAACGATAACAGCAATGGCCGAATCATTGACATCAACAATAACGCAGTGTGCGTCGGGGGATGGGCGACAACTCTTTTCTCCTCTTGCCATCGACAGGGCGACAGGCGAAATCGACATTAACAATAACGCAGTGAGTGCATCGGGGGATGGGCGACGACTCTTTTCTCCTCTTGCCCGCTTCTCTTCTCTGTTCTGGCCGCCGCTTATTGAATGGGGGGTGTGGAAAGGTGCACTGTGGTGGTGTGAAGGAGTGGGGTAGGGATAGGACCTCCAGCTGGTTTTTGTCGACAGGTAATATTGTCACATCTTCGCGTGTTTTGTTTCGATCGACGTTTGCTGATTACGAATTTTGATGGGCACACCAATCATAATGAACACAAGTATCTGCCATGTGGCGGGCTGGGGAGAGGTGCTGTTGCATATGTCACTAGGGTTTGTTGGTTGTTCCTAGGGCATGTCGCTTGGTCCCGGCCATGTGGAGAGGGCGGAAGAGTAGGTGTCTAATCTGACTTTTGCTTCTCTTTCGTCCTCCTGTAATTTCGTTTTCTAACTTTTCTCTATTTGAATTGGTGTTCTCCCCTCTTGAGAGGGTTTTGTTTATTACTGTTATAGGGGAGACACATGCGCTGGCAACACTGGGTAGAAAATTGCAGAAGTAGAAACCAAACCTTGTCCGGATCTTTCCCCTTCTTACTGTATCAGTATAGTAGTTGATTACGGCAAGGTAAGGGTCCTAGGGTTTGATGGGCAGTCAATCCCCTCACTCGGTGGCAATCAATGCTGCCCATCACCGCGTGCCCGTGCGTTTACAACAGTTCAAACATTCGATTACAACGATCCGGGATGCTGGACCCGCTTTCCAGCAGGTGTTGCTCCCCACCAATAGATGGAGCCCTCCCGAGACTGCTAGTGGTGTCTGCTCCTATCAGCACCCCTAGCATCATCTTGGGTTGTTTTCTTGTAAAAAAAAAAAAAACAAAAAAAAAAAAACAAAGACGCTGCTAGTGTGGAGATCTGTCCAAAGGAACTGTCCTGCTGTCTTTTGGTGCTGTTGCCATTATTTTAATTTTATTGAAAGGATGACGTCGTCTCTTGCGCAATCACTGAGTGAAGGGCTTTGTGTTTTGAGAGTGGTCTTCGACAAGAAATGATTTTGGAGTGCCTTTCACTAACCATGGTGTTATAGCTTGGTATCTGTAACCTCTCCTTAACAACCATGGATAGATATTCGAAATTGGATACGCAACATTGAGCAGCATGCATCGGACACGGTGAATAAGATCTTGATTGGTAATAAGGCGGACATGGATGAGAGCAAAAGGGTAAGTGAACCGTTATGTTATACACAACCAAAGGAACTGCATGAAATATGTAAATTGATCTAATTGAGGCATTTGCTTTGATACTCTTTGTTTTCTTTTTCGTGATTGTTTGTCAATTTCTTTGACTACGGTATTGAAAAATTTTGGATTCATTTTGAAGATTGAGAACATTCTCAATTGACCATGAAAAACTTTACGGCGTTTTAAGACCTGCAATTGCTACAGAGTAGCCTCCATTTACTGAAAGAAGAACAAACTTTTTTGCTATTATTGTCACTTCGCCATACTTGTGATGCCCTGAACTTACACTGCATTGCATAAGATTTGTGAGCTAGGGACATCGGCTTTCGCAGTACTCCCATGTGGTAGCCAATGTTGTCACCATGTTGGTTGGATCTCTGAGCCCTTCGGCATGCTGCCATTTCTCATATGTATTTACTGTTTTTTAATACATCTGAATCAGCAAGACTCCAATGCCCTGAACTTCCACTGCGTTGCGTATATATGTGAGCTGGGGACGTGGGCTCTTGCAGTATTCCCTTGTGGTAGCGAATTGTTTCACCATATTAGATGGATCTCAATCCTCAAGGTAGCACTGCCACTTCTCATACCTTTTTAAACCACCAGTACCTCGCCCTGCTGTAAAACAATGTCGCGGCCGTTTACTCGCCTCGACTTTCAGGGGTCGGGGAAACCAACGGCCGGTCGGTGCAATTTTCAGAAGAAAAAGAAAATCGCAAAAAAATAAAAAAGATAATCTTTTATTCTACCCAAAAAAAAAAACGAGCGGCAAGTTCGTGACCGTCGTCGACTTCATGCGCAGGGCAGAAGGGGGGGGAGGGAGAGGGGGAGAGAGAAAGAGAGAAAGGGGCGGAGAGAGAGCTGTCTCTTATACACATCTAGATGTGTATAAGAGACAGGAGAGAGAGAGAGAGAGAGAGAGAGAGAGAGACAGCAGGCGAGTTTGGCGCAGCCCATTTCGCCGACTCTCTCTCTCTCTCTCTGTGGTACACGCGCGAAATGTCGAATGAATCTCCCTGCTTCCACGGGGAGATCCATTCTCCTTTTGCGAATTCGCGGGCGCGCTTAATAAGGAGGGGGGAGAGAGAGAGAGAGAGAGAGAGAGAGAGAGAGAGAGAGCAGGGGAGTTTGGCGCAGCCCAGGTTGAGAGAGAGAGAGAGAGAGAGAGAGAGAGAGAGAGAGAGAGTCTCTCTCTCTCTCTCTCTACACGAATGCCCAAAATGAGAATGAATCTTCCACGCAGAGCGCCCTCTCTCTCTCTCTCTCTCTCTCTCCCCGCGACCCAAAGATAGAAAGTGCAAAATGAAGGCAGAAGTCTTTTTTTTTGTTTTTGTTTTCTTTTGACGTGTACCTGCCGGTAGCTCGAGGCTCTGCAAGGTTCGGGATACTGGTAGGCTGAGCCGCGGGCCTTAACAACGGGCAGGTACTCGTGGTTTAATATCAGTTTTTAAAACACAATTGCTGAATCAGCAAGGGAGATTATGCTCAAATTGGGTGTTATCATGGAGATCATGTGCAAATTGGATGTTATCGAATCTGAACTCATGTGAATGTTGAGGCTACGGGTGAAGATGTGAAGTTTGGAAAGAGAGTTGTGGTGTTCTGCAGCTTGAAGAAGGGTCTGCATTGACCGGGAGAGGCAAACGCTCTCTGTCGTTGTATTGAATCCTATTTCCTAACTAGGGCTTTGAAAGAAAGTATCCTTCATTTCTTTCAATTTTGGTTGGAGGATAGTAGTTGTGATGCTGATCTTCTTAGGAATGTTGCAGCTATGGACTGTGCCCCACATGACAGGAGTCCTGATTGTTCAGACTGAGCCGTTTGGAGGTCATGTCACGTGGTTTCCATTAAAACTCTAGTTGTTCTCAGTCTGAATGCTGATTTTGGCTGCCCTTAAACCCCCAGTACATCCAGCTGTCGGCCGCAGGCCCTTTTCGGAGGCCGCCCGGCGCCGATTCAATTCATTGATGGGGCTGGGTCTCCGAAAATGTTCTTAGGCGACCAGTTTTCTTTTCAGCAAGGCTGGGGCCGTGTACTGGCGGTTAAAGAAATCCAGACTGTGGTCATCCTCCATTCGTCTGTTGGCACCAGCCCTTTCTGTTGGCTAGTCTTTACCGGCGGCCTTTTGTCAAAGACTGGGGTGAGCACTGTGCTTTAAAGGACTTCCTAAGAATCGGACTTTCGACAGAGCGCGTGGTGGCTCTAACATTGCCCAGGGAAAGCCCTAGAATTGGATTCTGGGACCTAAATTATTAGGGCACGTTTGGAAGTTGTTGCAGGGCGAGGGGGAAACAAACAATGTGGTTCTTGGAACCTAGTATCACAATTGGAAAGAATCATCCTCTCTGGTCTTTTGTTTCCCGTCCCTCAGCTCATTCTCCAACCCCTCCCTTTCCCAGAACAGATTAATTCACTCGTCCTCTAGTATGGCCCTACGCGTGTTGCACTTTATCATGTCTTTTTCCTTTCTCCGCTCCAAGAGGGTCAAGCATTCACAATCTCGGCCGTTGGTATCTGCTTGAGCGATGCCTAGAGTCTTCTGTGCGGATGGGACATGATCAATAAATACCCTTCCAAGCTGGACTGGAAAGAGGTCTGTTGATTTGCCAGGTCCTCTTACTGTTTGAGGGGTTTCGTTTTTCAATTGATGAATATGAGGTTCTTCAGCAGTACACTCAAGAGGTTGCTGTGTGTATGAAATCGTGGGTGGCCCAGTTCCTCTTGGACAGTGCCATGTCTAATCAATAAATTAGGCTAATAAATTGGAAAATGACACCCCTCGAAAGCATCCTTATCATTTCGTTTATGGAAATCAATGGCCTATTTTTGGTCAACTTGGGCTTTGGCAAGTAGCATTGGTAGTGTTATGTACATGCATTCTGCTGACCACATTGCCAGCTCTCAGATTGCAATGAGCCGTAAGAAGCAGATGCTCGTCCCTATGGGCGCGCCACGGGTAACCAGGCTAGACTGTGCCTGATATTATGTTCTCAACTGCTCATGACATCCAATGCTTACAAGGAGCTCTTAAGATCCTTGTGGTCAGGGAATATCCAACCAGTAACAGAGAGTCTTGAAAAGAACTGCAGAGCAGACTGAGGAATGGTGTGTGCCAATTCTTGATCCCCTGCGCATCTGTTGCATGCTGCGCCTGCAACAGGCTGCACGGGCCATTTTCAGGTCCGTGTCGTTTTCAGCCTGAAAGCCTGAAAACAAGGGCCGACGGACCCTGTGTCGTTTCAGCCTGAAAGCCTGAAAACAAGGGCCTAACAGGCCCTGTGTCGTTTCAGCCTAAAACAGGGCCTTTCCGGCCCTGAGTCTTTTCAGCCTGAAACTGAGGGCCATTTTCAGGCCCACATTAGATCGACCTGCCCTGAAACTCAGGCACCAGACCAGGGTTTTAGCACAGACCATTTTGGGCCTGTTTTCAAGACAACCCTTGGTTTAGCTTCAGCACCAGGGTCTGGCACGTTTTGGCATTGGCAAGAGTAGCGTCCTGGACGGGGCAGCACTATATAGGACTGGCCTGCCCTGCAGGCTGCAGGTGGTTCCTAGGTACTTCCCAGGCACTTCACGTGCAGTTCAGAAGGCAGGAGCGTGCAGTTCAGGAGGCAGGAGGTAGTCTTCAGGATTCGGCAGCAGCACTCTGGAGGAGCGTTGCAGGAGTAGTGGAGGCCAGGGAGCTAGAGGATTCGGCCGCTAGTAGGAGCTAGAGCAGTACTGGAGAGAGAGAGATTGGGCGGAGGCCAGGGAGACTTACGTGCAGCGCCATTGCTCCAGCTTCGTCTCCGAGGTACCTGCAGCACAACGCCAACTTCACAGGTTACTACCTGGCAAGAAAGAGAGAGAGAGAGAGAGTTCTTCTTCTTCCTCTTCTCAGTCCACCATCTCCCTCTCACCCTCTCGCTATCTGACTTCACTGCATCAGCAGACTACGAGAGAGGTAGCGAGAGCTTGGTGACATTTGGATCCAGACTCGACGTTGGGCTTAACACATTTTGACGAGGGATTATTTGGGACTTGTAACGAAGACTTGGTGTTACGACTTTCCCATCTCCCCCCTCCTCTCCTTCGTCTGTTCCCCTCCTCTTCGTCTGTGCATGATCTGGAGCTGGCGCATTCTTCCTGTGTGTAGCATCAGACCTCATTCACACCTTGTGATGAAGATGATGTATGTTTAGTCTGCATTGCAACATTGATTGGGCTCGTCATTGGTATTCTAGCATTCTGCTGCGCTGTCTTGTACTATGTGAGGGAGGTCAGTCCTGGTCAGGTCAGGACTTGTATCCAAGTCTTCCACTGCGCTATAAAGCACCATTTTTGTATGTATCAGGATGTACGCTGCTTGTTGAGATTTCACTAGCACTGCGTTGTCCATTCAGTCTTTTTCATCACATTGCGGATCCTTGGTTATATATGTACATCACCCAACTGGGCATGTAACAGCATCCCCCCGTTGTGCATCAAGCGCAAATGTCAGTGTATGTGCCGGCTGTGTCTTCATTATCGTCGCTCCTGGAACTTCGCAAGTGTACTGTTCCTGTGCCTCAGCTGGCAGTGCTTGAGTCGGCTGTGACATCCTTATCATCAACTACCTCCTGGTTCCACTCTCCTCAGCAATTCAGAAGCTGGCCACATGATATCCAACAAATGCTGTCACCATCTTGACAGACCTCGGGAGGGGCATCCTGCACCGTTGGAAATGTTGACCCCTGCTATTCTCCGCTACCTATGTTGCCACTCTTTCATACAGCGGATGACTGTTTCACAAATTTGTCTGCCCTGCAGACACGCAGCAAATAATTTTTTTGTCGTGGGACCTCGTTAAGTGCGGGAGGGGAACAAACGAGTGGGGGAGGCCGGATAAGGGGAAATTGTGGAACAGGAGAATGATTAGTACGAGGAAGAGCATGAGTGGTAGGAGGACTAGGAGGACAAGGGAAGGACGAGTAGTAGAAGGGGAGAAAGAAAGGGTGAGGACAGCAGCTCAAGGATAGCGAGGTAGAGTAGTGAAAGTGGGGATTAGTGAATTGAGGAAGGGTAGGGTGTGGGGGATGGGTGTGGTAGGGAAAGTGGAGGAAAGGAGTGCAGGTTTGGGAAAGTCGTGGAATAGGAGAATTATATGTGCTTCGAGAATTAGCTGTTGAAGCAGGAAGCGGATAACGATTAGTAGCTTGGGGATGAGCCCTAGAGGCAGGAATAGGAGAAGGGTAGGATAGGCAGTACTAAGAGGAAGAGTAGTAGGAGGAAATGCTGACAAGGATACGTATGACAGCAGGAAGGGACTCTCTCCCCTCCCGTGTATGCACAGATGGCAATAATGGTGAAGTGGAAGATATGCAGAATGTGTAGCAGTACCAGGGCTTGAGGAAGTTGAGATGAAGAAGAAGAGGAGGTAATGACATACTTGGCAGAAATCGCAGGCAAGGGGGTTGGGGGGAAAGGGGGGGGTCTGGGGGATGTCACAGACCTTGCAGGTGTGTTTGTGGAAGAAGAAGAAGAAGAGGACGAGGAGGAGGAGGAGGAAGAAGAAGAAGAAGAAGAAGAAGAAGGGTGGAGTATGACGGGAAGAAAGATTGGGCGAGATCGAGTTGGGGGAAATGGCCGCCGCGCAGGGACGTGGCACAAGAC